CTCCACAGCAGCAATGTGAACTGCATAGGGAGTTGCTCACAAAAAGGAACTCTGAGACACTGAACCTATTCTGAACAGTTATTAATTACTTATTTGTGCAATTAATATGACGCGCCAGCTCCGATAATTCCTGTACATCTCTGGCTTCGCAGAGCAGTGTTTCAAAGAAATCAGTAATGGTGAGAGGAATAATTGAAAAATTTTTAAACCAACTTGGTTGTCTCTGAGCGGTTGCGGGTCATTGCCGGCTATCCACGGAAGCAGTCGACGATAGTCTGCCAAGAGTACAATCACAACGTCGAAGACAATCCTCACTAGCCACAGGAGAACTACGCCACCAGCTAGCGTCTCCAGGCGAATCAGTGTATCGATATACTGGAACGAATTTTTCTCACGATTGGATTTCCTTAAAACTGGCACTTTGGACGTCAGAGATCAAAATAAAGAGTTTTGGCTCAATAATTGTAAAAGGAAACAGCAAAGAGATAAGGAACTCGTACAGAAATTCTGATCATTGTAGTGAAAGCCTTCATTTTTATGAACACTCAGATAGTCCCATGGCTCCGAGACTAGCCAAGGAATCGATGATCCGGCTGGGCGAGTGATGTCGTTCATATGTATGACCAGAGGGGTTACGGACGGGATACCTTGGGAGTTCAAAAGAACACCTGGACGACCGCCGGCCCGATGGTCAGACTTCTTTACGCAACCTCTGAACGAAAGTGATGATGAGCTGCGTGTCCCTCGAGCTAGTAGTAGGATCCACATGGGCACTTTGGAGCACCACAAAGTCGAACAAACGTTAGTGGCGCCCGCTTGGAGAACCTGATGAGCAACGGGTGGAGAGATAGTGCCGGTGATACACCCTCACGGCATAATCCATGAGACGCTTGAGACAGAGCAACATGGAAGACAAGCGCTTGACGCAGCGCTTAGCTCCTCTTCGCACGTGGGCAAATAACCGATACAACCGGGTATCGACCGTAAGATGAGCTGGATCTCTTTTGGTGATGCCTTGTTGGAAGAAGCGCACTCAATTCTCTCCATTTGTTTGCATGTATTTTTCGGGTTTGGATCCCGAAATTTCCTATTTTACTTCAAAGTCAATTCCGAGGTTATATGGGAGAAGTTCATGCCTTCGGGCCCCGCCCACCGTTTAGGTTGAAAATGAAAAAAAATTCATCTCTCCCTTCCGCTCTTCCCTTCCCATTCGTTTCTTTTTCCTTCTTTTTTCCTCTTCCACATTTCTGTTCAAAAGCTATTGTCAATTGGAGTTATTCAATGAAGACACTTTCTAGGAGATACAAGGTTGTTTTTGGTGACTTCTACGTGGTTCAACAGCACAAGCATGTGCTCTTCAATCGCAGCTTTTTTCTAGGTGCAGCAGCAGGTGAGAATAAGCAGTCATGATGTCATCCCACTAGAAAAATAGCAATGCTAGCCTTTGGGAAATTTCCATCCCGAAATTTTGAGTGGCTCGCTGGCAACCCCGTGATTCGCAAACTTGCATGAATTGCTCTGCTGAGATGATGGCTCCTAGCGGCAGATTAATAGCACTGAAATGCGAAACTAACAGCGCCCACACCATCTTGTGAGCTATTTTCAGGTGCTGACTTTCTCACTGGGAAATTGTGTGGAGTGCTGCAACCATTTCAAACTCACTCCGACGATATCACAGTCTTTCCTCATCGAGTTTCTGATTTTGTTGTATAAATAGACGTTGTGAAGTATAATCGCGGCTCCAGTGAGCACCAATGTGGACACGATGACGTACAGCCCAAGATGCCCACCGAAGTAGAAGAAACGGTACATCTTCTTCTTGGTCACTTCAGGCTCATTATGCATCCTAAGAAAACACCATTAAGAACGCCGACGGGCCGTTGAATACAAAATTCACTCACTTCTCACGGTAAGCAATCGCCTTCATATTGAAAAGAACCATGACGTAGCAGGTAAGCACAATTATGGCAGAAACAGCGATGACGCCAATCGCCACGATCAGC